GGTTAAGAGTGAAAAATAGGGATTCAATAACATATCTTCACCTCCGTCTTTTTCACTGCCTGCCCCTTCTATTATTTTTTTTTGTGTTTCGTCTATAATTCTTCGAGTTTATGTGACATTAGACATATATCATCTGTAAAATCAAGATCTTTTAGAGTTTTCTTATCGGTGGTCCGACGTATTCCTGTCTTCTTACTCCGAGTGCTTAGTCTGACGCATAATCCTGGCAACAACAGTTAAGAATATCATCCGAGGTGATAATAGGCAACCAGTCTTGTCTTACTCACCTCACTGAGCTTTCCGTCGTGGATCACCTGATACATGTCACTGTCATATAGCCAGCCGTTGAATGAGGTTAATAAAGATTTGGACACTGAACGGCGCAGTGTTGAAGTAGCTTCAAAACTACTCCTCGGTCGGCGCTGTCTGTCGAAAACCTTTTCGAAGGCAATGGAGTTGAGGTAGAGAGAGTTTTGACTGCCATTCTGTGCTTCTTTCTGCAGTGACGATGTATACAAGTGCAATTTAATCATCACATGATTTGCTTTTCCGGAATTCGGCTTGTTTCAGTGGTGCTAGTGGAGTTCTGAATTCAGTGAATCTTTTATTCTTTCCAAGATAACACCAATTAGTATTTTATTTGGCATGGACAAGAACACGATTCCATGCTTTTTCTTTCAGACTGAGGCCTAAGTCTTCCTTATTTGGTAGCTTAACTAGGTAGCTAGCCCTTCTTCCAGTAGGTAGGTACCTTGTCTTTCTTACAAATCTCTTGCAACAAGGGCGCCAGCACATCTGCTACTGTCTTCAGGTCCGTTTTCAGTCCTTTGGGGTGGAGGAATTCCATTTGGTCATGCTGCCTTCCCAGCAGGCGTTCAGTAGCTTGATGGCACTCTGGATTTCAGTTTCCGTTGGAGGATTGGTGTCCATTGGCAGGAAGTTCTATGCGTGCTGTTGATGGTGGTGATATTTCTGGGCTAGTTGAAGGTAATGGTCGATTCAAGGGTCCTCTGAAGTGATCAGCCTATTGTTTTGATTGTTTATCCTCCTTATTAATCAGCATAGGGTTGCCAGCCTCACGCACAACCCTCCCTCTTTTCCAGGGTTTGAGACAGAAAAGAGAACTAGCGAGCTATTTGACTAGGCGAGGTTGATGTGATGAGTAATAGCGAGTAAATCAACATATCTGCCATCTAGTTTAGCAAATAACACTTAGCAATAGTAAAAGCAACGATAATAACAGTCTCCAATGCAAATAATTCTACAGATTGCGAATTTCAGATTTCTGTCCTCTTCGTGTTGTCGCCTGATTTTCACACATGGAAATACTATATTTCTTGTTGCGACTTACGCAATACAAAAGGACCAACAATGTACATCGAGCTGCTCATAAACAGAGTACTAGGTGTATGCATGAAAACCTGAAGACGAATCAGACGAACCATTCACAACATGCTGATTTCTGAATTATACTTAATAATTTTTAATTATTAACAGCTTTATTCTGAGCAACGATATTTGCTCAATTTACAGACTTATCAGGGCTAATTATTATATATATATATATATATATGACATTTCGTCTTCATCCAGGAGGTTTCACTGGAATAGCAGTCTAAGGTAACTTATGTGACGCAAAAGTGTAGAGTGAAGAGTAAAATAGTCCTTTGCGATACGTTCGTCTCGTCGCCGAGAAATGTGCATAAGTAGGTTGAATGCCATTTAAAAATGTTCGTGAATAAATTTGACGGCCGACGAGCGTAAGTGAATGGTTTCTGTATTGTGTTAGGAGGAAATTTAGTTGGCTCAATGATTCAGTCGAGCCGTTCTACAATTAGGCAGACATTATTTCCGCATAAAACGGTGATATATACCCACTCCTAACGCTGCTCATTAATGAGGGATATCATTGTGACCTAATGGTTTCTTTTTGAAACGCAATACAGATTCTCATCGATGACCATTTATGTACTAATATTATGACTGTGTTGAATACGCGAATAGTAATCCCTATTACTTTGATGTATGTAATTTTTTTTGCAGATTTTTGGGAATACTGCCGACCATACTTCTCTTTTTATTTAAAGGATTTAAATATGAAAATATGGTTGACCATCTTCTCATAGCACTCAGTGTAAGTATACACTATTTAATTTCTGTCTTTTTGCCGTATGTTTTCTTGGTAGATGTTATCAAAATTCATTATCTTATGGGGGACCAATAATGACTAGAAATTAATGTGCATCTGCTTTCTCTTGATTTGAGACTTTTCAGTAAGCGTCATAATAACAGGAAGCTGAGACACAGGTCCAATACCTTTTGGTTACCAAGTCTTCAGTAAATCAGAATCCAGTAAAACACTGGGATCCGAGAGTCTCGCTACTTGAGCAATACCAACAGACCACAACTATAGTTAGTCTCATAGATAGCCAGTCCTTAATGAAGATGTTTTGCATTTTAGTGACACGTTTAACTACAAGGTGAACTTAAACCTATGGTAATAAAGATTTCAAGGAATAAGGCAGTGTCTCTGATACGTTAAATCTTTTTGTGCTTGAAATATGAGGTTTCGGGCCCCGTGTGATTTCAAATATCCTACGATGACATTTATCAAATCAATGATAATATCACTAAGTTCTTCTGACATTTGACCATGGCAAGGATGAATTAATTCCTACAATCTGTAATGCATCTCGTAAGAAACAACACCTTTATTCCAAGATTTGTAACATATATCCAGCAATGCATTTTCGAATAGGTGATGGAGATGTTGTGCTGAACTCCATCTCTCTCAGAATGTCAATAATGGCTAGATTCATTTACTTAATTCCCATCTTCATTATTTAGAACAATAATTTCAGTGTCGTGTTGCTTGGATACGGGAGACGTATTTCACGTGATTTTTTAGCAGAATGTCTCCTTAGCACTGGATTGAGTGAGACAGTATCAAATTCAACCACTGATCAATGTTACTGTACGATGTGCATCACTAAACTGATATATTTTAATGTACATATACTTATCTATTAATAAAATTCTTCATTCATTTTTAGTATATTCTGATCTCATTTGAGTTCGCCGGCACTTTTCTTGATATTCAGTTGTTTTGCTCTCTCACATCTCTCCTTGTGACAGTAACGGTCAGTGGAATTGTGGCATTTTTGGGTCTTATGTTCAGAAAAGTCAAGATGGAGTACACTGTGATTATCTTCAGTGCTGGATCTGTTTTTGCTGGGTGTGGAATAATCATGTTAATTTTTCAATATGTTAAACAAGAGGGAAAAGTAAGTTCCTATGAATAAGTACATAAAGAGATACGAATCCGCAAAATGTACAGATTGTGATACAGCCAGGAAACAACTCAATTATGTAAACGGAAGCAACCAGTGGTTGCTTTCAAAGTTCACAATAAATATCGACTTGTGAATATCAACAATAATGTAATACGATAACGGCTTTAAATTTTGACTTTTTTTAGAAAGTGTAATTGTAATTTAGTCAGGTAATTATGCACATATTCGGAATGAGGAATCTGTGGAATTCCATCGACAAAAATGAATGATTTCACCCCTCAATTTCAATGGCGATACTGTGAATAAATGCGTAAAATTTAGTCATTGTGGTGATATGTCATTCCATATTGATCCTTCTATACCACACTGTGAGATTTTATTGTTCATTATTATGTCAAATGTAAGTGAACAACTTCGAAATTCAAGTTTTATAGTGCTCTTTTTATATACTCATTTGTCCTAGGGGAGGCAGAAACATTCATATTTCCGGGGTTATTGCTGATTTGTTCCTATTGAACGCGTTCTCAATTGATTAGATGAACAAAGGTTTAATTATCAATCTCTCCTTCCACCTCATTACATTTGATTTTAATACCTTAATTTTTTCCATCTTGTCAACATAAATGTCGAGTTCTAAAGTTGTCTACTTATAGTTGACATAATTATGAACCAGACATGTTTTAGAAAATGTCACCCAGCAGATAATACTGTTTCAATGGGTGATATATCTTACAAACATATTTGTAAGGTCTGAAATCAGGAAATCGATCTCTGCGTTCTATTATGTAGTTGACCCAAAAGTCCTACAATCACAAAATATCCTAATGACAGTAAATAAATAGTAGTTTACAAGAAAATCTGTGGTACTACTTAACAATAACAATGCCAAAACCTAAAAATGACTTCAACAATTAGGATAGGGAGCTATACAGACTAGAAAATTCACCATTACAAAATAAGTACTGTAGAGAAAAATTAGAAAATCAAAAAACAACTGTGAAAAGCACCTGAGAATCAACTAGAATATTCCCAACAAGGTTGGATCGAAACCCCGTCAGTAAAAATCCAGCATCAAACAATCCCCACAGGCACTCCTAGGTCAGAATGACCTTGACGCGCTCGAAAAAAACAACACACCATGATTACCATCATACAACCACAAACAGAGCCATCAAAATTACAGTGTAAATAGGAACAAAGACAAATAACAAGAGTTAAGTCAGTAGACGATAATCCGAACAAATTTAGCTGAAATATCTAAATAAGTGTCAATAGTGGGATTAGATAGTTCAGGAAGGATTTTCCAAACAAGGATAGGGTTGAAAATCTCACTCTCAACCTTCCGCTTTCTCCCTGTTTGATATTGGCTAAGTGAAGTGGAAAAGCGTTAGCCGAGACTGGTACGTCGACGACGTCAGCTTCGTGATGTTCAAAGTCTTGGAATACAGTGTGACGGATATCAAAACAGATTTACTGAAGCTCCATCGATGAATTTAATCTGAAATAGAGTCACACATTTTTCAGGTTCACCTGACCAACTTGAGTTTGTGACTGTGATTGTTTGTAAACAAACAAGCCAGACATATTCTAGTTAACTTATTCACTCGAATTCAGAATCTCATATGCATTCTATGCCTCGTAATAGTCTAATTTCCTATTCTTCAATTATTTTAAATTTTCAGATGCTTTTCAAAACAGTCACTTTAGTTTGTTTGGCTTTGTTCTCAATATTAGTAAGTTCAAGTTGTAAAATATTTAAGTTGTAAATTACTAAACACTAACAGCCTACATGTTATGGCATATCGAAAGCTTATTATGCACAGACGGAGTTATCTCTCCTCTTTGCTGTATGATTAGAAGATTCGACCTCATTGTGTCACAGGGACCCACACATTCACATATTCAGTTAAGGCTATTGTCATGTTAAACTAATTTGAGGTATATCAGTAAATATCATGCAGTTAAAATGAAATCAAACTGCGAGTTACTGCATTGTGTGCAGCACCGACGACTGAGTTCATCATTCAACGTTTTTGACTCAAAATACTCAGAGGTAGAAGTTTCAATGTCATCATCGAGATATCTCGAACCAAAAATGTGAGATATCAACCTTATGTAGTATTCTGGGAAAGGTGGTGGTTATTAAGGTGATTCATGATCCTCACACATTCATCAAAGAGTTAGGTGAATTGAAAAATCCACTGAATCATAGTAATCGAATAACATGAATCCACATATGATAAGTGGTCCTAATATATACGGAAGCTGCAAAACAGTGACAAGATGATACGTAGATACGCACAAATAAACTTGACAGATTTGTCTGGCATACTGCAAAGTTATCAGTGTACATAAACAAATCCTGGAAACATTTACTAAACATATGATTTACCGACCTAAAGACTATATTTGTATACATATTGTAAGGTTGAATCTCTTTTAGAGTCAAGTTGTGTGTTTACCAACAGTTTCCAAGAAATTCTCATGACTTTCGCCTAAATTAGCACTGTTCTTGCTGACATATTACTCGAATCTCCAGTCAAGTAACATATGCCCTCATTGCATAAGTGGATTCAAACAATTCAGATATCAACACCGACAAATACCAGTTAGACGACCATTGAAAACTGGAGAGTACTGTACAGCTGTTACGTCCTCGGTTAGGTCTTTTCAGTAATACTCAAAAATGAACGCACATGTGATCGGAAGAATAACCTTCGGATAACAAGGCAAGAACATCACGTTTTCTGGTGCTTGGTAGAGACTAACTGACTGACTGCGGGACTACGCTGCCTACAGCTTTATTGCAATGTCATAATTACTGGCGTCCAGCAACTCCAGTGTAAAGGTAAATACTTGCAGATGAAACTGGCTCTATAAATCACGAAAGGCAAGAAGACAGATATCACATACCTCTATAAAAGATTGAAGTGGCTGAATGGTCAGCAGGCTTGCTACGTAAAATGCTGATCCTGATGAAGTCTTGGGTGCATACTGCCGAACAGTCTCTGAATGGGACTAAAAAACTGTTCACTAATGCCTAGTTTCCAGAGCTTCTCTAAGTGATTTCAATCCATGATCACACTTGAAATCGATTAAATTCTTACAATCTAACAACTAAAAGAATTTATTTTGTTTTCACTAATTTTTTTAAATATTTTAGTGCATTTTCTTGACGATAAGTCGAATGCGATTCTGCGTCTCATACAATGTATTTTATTGCTCAATTATATTTCGAGCCTTCTGTATGTGGATAGGAATGCTCATAATGTTCACTTCAGTATACTTTTTCCAGGACTCAGTATCTAAAATCTGCGAAGATCCACGTCATACATACATAAGAAAATTTATTCTGTAAGGTTTTCAATTTGTTTTAATATCTTAAAATAAAAATATTATATTCATATGACAGAAAGTAGGTCTTGTGAATGAGTTTGTACTGAAATCACTGCATGGAACATGTTTAAATCCTCCACAGATGGTGAAGTGTCAGAAAGGAAATGCTTTGCCTGTGAGTTCGGAAATAAAGTGAACAGTATATTTGAACATTTTAAGTTTACAAATCATCAAATGACATTATGTCGATTGGAGATTTGAATCAATCTAAAACAGTGCATGAGAATAAATAAATTAGAACACAGTGAACATCTCTGAATATTTGCAGAAAATTCGTTTATGACGTCCACCTACACCATATCTCAGCTTGAAGACGCCTGCAGTTTCAACGAACTTCAGGTTACAAATTTTATATTGATTTCCGAGATAATGCATCGTATTCTGTCATTTTCAACAGGAAATTTCAAAGGGTCTCCCATATACTCAGTTGTGGGAAATATAGACTAGTAGGCGAAGCTATATCTTGAGACCTTTGATTCTATATTCCGTGTATTTCATATTTATGTAGTCACCGAGTTAACAGTATTTAAACAAGAGTATAAACACATGTTCTTCAGTCATAATAGTCCAGTTCGCCTGTAGGTTGGAAAATTTACGACAGGAATTAAGACATATAAAAGAAGTTATCGAGAATTACTATTTCTCTGAGAAATCTATCCAGAGTTATATAGAAGAATAATAGGCAGAAAAGTAAAATTACTGACAAGTATATGCATCACGTCCAGACCACCAGAAGGAGAGGATTTGAAATACTCATAGTATTCCATTACAGAGAATGAATCCCTGAAACATTGAATTAGACTTTCACATGTCAGGAATATAAGTGGTATTTAAACCAATAAATTCATTCAAACACAAATTATGGTTAAAAATATCTTGATCCACCTATCAGACAAAAATATATAAGAGATTCTTAGGGAGAAAGCTGAGAAACGTTTAGCCAACTAAGGATCAGATAACTGTCAGCTTCAGGGAATCTTCAAGATCAATTTGAAAGTCTTCAAAAGAGCCAGAGGCAGAATACAGAAGAAACTGAACAGAAAGACAGAGATGAAAATGGAATCTTCATTGAATTTCTAAGGAAACTGTCACATGTGAAATCGATCACCACTGATGAAACCTGCTTGGGAGAAACATGGTACCCTATGATGGTAAAATGAAAAAAATGCGGAATAGGTTTCACAGTCAATAAGTAGAGGCAGGGTACAGAAAAAGCTTAATATGCACACCTGAATGAGGACAGAAGTGATAGCACAAGAGGAGCTCATGATGAAATCCTGAAACCAATCGAATCCCTACAAACCAACACTTGAATAACAATAAGATGCTCGCTGGCGACTGGCCCTATTCAGGTAGGTAGTTACCTGGGTTCCAGTGGGAAATCGTGACCAGTAGGGTGCAGCGGGCCGAAGACATTGGCTAGCGGTTGCGCTATGTCGTTAATTGGCAGAAGTTAGAATTCAAGGACCACTGGATCGGGTCCCAGTGGCTTAATGGTATACGAGCTTGCCTTGTATACAGAAGGTCCTGGGTTCGAAACCCGTGGCGCGGGTGCGTACTGCTGAAGAGTCCCAAACTAAGACGAAACAGTTGTCCAGTACTCCCAGGTTTTCCAGTGGTCCTCTAACTAATTTCAGCTCCTGATGAAATCCTGAGACATCTTTTGAGTCATCATTTCTGACGTCACCTGTAAACAAGATAAAGTCATTAGATACATATTGCTAAACGCTAACCAGGGAAAACCTTGTCTTTATATCTAAGCCATCTCAAATAAATAAGCAGTAAGATCCATTGTCTTAGAGCGATAAGTGCTGACATTCTCAGTCTCTATCCTATATCTTTCCTACTGTTGGAAATCCGGTAAAATCCTGTTCACAAGTGGACTAACTCAACATACAAACTTTATGCAAGCTGTACGTCTCATCGATTAATCGAGTGCAAATTAGTGCTATACAGTTCAAGAAAATCTTTGACGACACTGTGTTCAGAGTCTCGGCACATGTAACATCAAAATCATCTTCAAGTGGTAGTCCACCTTCATTAATAGCTATCTCCCTTTTTTGGTGAAGATAGGCCGTCAAAACAAGTAAGTAACAAAGAACTCTAGAATGTAACAGTCCAGAAAACAACCTATTAATGAAAAAATACCCAGGAGAAAAAGATGACTAAACGTATGCCTAGAAAATCTATCAATGTCCTACAACATGACCCTTAAAAGATCACAAGCAAGAAGACCGTCGGGCATGTAATTTCGAAGCTCCGTTTGTATTCTTTCTGTCTTGACTCCTTGCATATCATATGGTTTAAAGTACTGTGATTATCACATCCCATAACTTCTATTACAAAAGCGAAACGGCCAGGTCTTCCACACCTCTGGGATGTACCAACTATGTTGAATAAGACGCAATAAATGCTCGAAAATTTTCAAGACCAATTAATATCATGACAGAGTACCATTTCACATTTTGGTGAGCTCAGAAATCATTTATTTGACACTTTACAATAATTACTGCTTAATTAATCAGTTTATCGCCACCTCCTAATACTCTATCCGATTCGTCTTATGTTACGCCATGTAATAAAACAAACAGAAATACTTTGACTTATGCTTCCAAATACAAGTGATCAGCAAGTTATTATGGCATTAGGGCAGTGGGAAATCGAACATTTCAAACGTCACAGTCAGGTATCAAGTAAATGAAAACTGTTTCGCCAAGTTGTCAGCTATATGTCAGTGAACAGGTAAAACATATTCGTAGGGTCAACGAAAATTCATCAACTGAAGGTAAACTTATTAAGAGTAGTCACAGCCTCAAGAGATAATAACTACCGAGCAGAGGAGACCATCTTAACCTTAACTCAGTAGGCTTAGAAGTACTTATCATTTTGTTTCAGCAAAAGTTTTTGATTCACTTTTCTATTGTGCTAGTCAAGTAATTTATCTTGAGGACACCAACCCTCACAGCTCTGGATATTAATCATAGTACTCAAATCACCGATTAATTTTTAAGTTGACAAACTTGACCAATATTTAGTAGCAGCACCCAACCATTTATGCCTTGAGTCATTTGAACCTAGCATTTTGTCCATTTATCAGACAAAATTGATTGCACTCCTTCTAACTTATGGAATTCTGTGTGTGTGTGTGTATTTGTATTAATACTTATGAATTCAAAGAAGATATCTGTCATTCACAGGGACCTCTCACCTATTTGGCAAGAATTCCACCAATAAACTTCCGTAGAAAAAGTTGATGTCTAATGAAATCCATCCAAAGTAAATTCACGGCCTTACCCTGAGTGAAACTAAGTCTGGTTATCTCTTGCTTGTAAGATATCATGCAGCAGAGTATTAAGCACTTTGATATCACATAATATTCTCACACTTGCGGTAAATTACTCACTTAATTCTCGCTGTCGAATTATTTGGTCACTTATACTGGTCAAAACAGTTCTTATAGGATGTATTTGGGCCGAGGAAATTCGTTTTAGTCTTAATTGTTTTATGCTGCTTGTTGCATGTATACGCATATAATGCGTTGCTCAATTTGATGATTTCAGAGATATCTTGTTGCCTGAGGCAGATACTTCTATTTTTAAGGTTTTATTATCTATGCATCCTATAACAGCAGTAAGCTCCAATGGGAATCAGAAATCTATAATCGGACATAGTGCGTCGGTGGCACAGTGGTTAGGACTCTCGCCGACCATGAGCATGGCCCGGAGTTCGGCCCCCTACCGACGTACACCTGATATCAATGGTCGGCCTGCAAAATCTGGGCTACCGATATCACATGCTGAAAATTCCATACTTCCACCGAAAATACTGTGTGGTGAGAGCAGGCTGCCAGCCAATCGGTAGACATTAATTTACGTCAATGTCTAGGTCACTAATATTGGCCGTGAGAAAATATGAACAAGGCTGATTCAGCAACCAATCACAGCAGGCTTAACGTGGACAAATAAGATTCGCAGATAGATGGCCTCACTTTCCAAGAAACCCGAAACAACCAGTCAGAAGACTGTGTTTGTCTGCTTGAATAAGCTATAATAATGTACATGAAATATATATAAATACGTGCTGATTTCCGTAATAAAACGATCTGTTTCCAGCCCTTGTCTTCTGTTGTTACAACTGTATGGAATAAAAAAATAGTGATAGACAATGCAAACGAAATATGTTGCGGCCCTACTATTGCGTATCTGGTCATCTCAAAGCTCCCTCATCTCTCACAGCTCACTTTCCTACGTTACTCAAGAACCGTTCAGTTATACTCTGAAGTGAAGCTTTAATGAATTCAGATGTTTCCTAACTTTGTCAAGTGGCTCGATAACTTCTGTAAATGTATTTAGGAAAGAAAACGGGGTAAACTTAATGCTAAGGAAGTGTTCAGTGATTGCAGAATTACATCAACTGACCATATAATTGAATTAACTGAAGTATACAGTTGTAACTCCTTCAATAATCTTGATGTCAAAAGATCATTTCTGACTTGTAATTTATCTAGTTGTTACATGTATACCTTTAGAACTTCAAAGATTCCAATCCATGTCCCTCTCAATGAATCAATTTCTATTATAGTATCAGAATACTGGGTTGTGATTTTGGTATCTCTAGATAGGTCTTAGACGATTTAAGCGTGATTGTACATGAGTTCATATGATATAACGTTCAAATAAATAAGTAAATCAGAACATGTTTATTAGAATCCCTCCAAATGTCTTCCTGCAAGTCTACGTAATCGAATCTTTCAAATTAGATGAAACAGTAACCAAAATGA